ATAATGTTAAATATATATATATATATATATATATATATATATAATTGTGTTAAATATTAAAAAAAAGTATAATTGTCTCATGTAAAGAAAATACCTATTCTTTATACCAAAATAAAATACAGAGAAAAAAATGATATTCACTATTCTTCATTAAATCATTTTAATTACTTAAAGAAAAATGAACCAAATATTTAAACTTTTTAAATTCTTAATTTATGTTCTTTGAAGTTCACGTCATGAAAACTCTCAATTTTTTAATCAATTGAATTTTTTGTTATAATAATTTTAAGATTTTAATATATTTTTAGTTTATATAAAATGAACGAGTTTTGAATTTAATCTCTGTAAAAACTTTCTTTATTTTAATCTTTCTAAAATTGGTAAACATTATTTTTAGTTCATGTAAAATATTTTGTATCCCTATAAGATGAGTAAATTTAGATTTTGGTCTATGTAAAATATTTTTACTTTTAATTATTTTTTAAATCTAAAATTACTATTTTTATCTCTGATGATGATTTTAAGATATAAAAATAATAATTATTTTAAGAACTTATAATTTTGTTTGAAATATAATACACTAACAAGATATTACTAATAGTTGCAAGTAATACTCAAGATAATCACTTAATTTTTTAATAAATAAATAAGTAATTAAAAATAATTACATAATAACATAAAGTAAAAATAAGAATTCTAAATTTTTGATGGATGGAAAATAAAGGAATTTTTTTTTATGAGAATCAAAATCAAAACTTGTGTATTTTGTTGAGACTAAAAATATATTTAATTTAATTTTAATAACTTTATATCCATGTGGAAATTTTGGATATATTAAACCATAATATAAAATATTTACTTACTATATATGAATAGAAATTTAAAAAATTTATAAAGATTAATTGATTTTCTAAAACTTGTTAAATAATTCTAAAGTATTTATTAACAACAAGTGGTATTAGTAAGCAGTGACGAAGAAAACAAAATTGAAAAATATATCTTTTTTTTTTATCTCACAGTTGTTTGCGAAAAACAAGATTTTTTTTTAAAATATGTTTTTTCATTCTCATTTTTTTTTAAAAAATAAAAACCCATATTTTAATATTTAACAACACACTTAGTCATACGTCCAATACTATTTATTCAATAGAAAAAATTAGTTATATCCAATTATGCATATTAGAAAATATGACATGGTAGGTCACAAAAAGAGAATTGGTGAATAATAACATTAACGACTCAACCCAAAATTAAAGTGACAAAAGCTAAAAGTAAAAATTACTATTATTCAATAGTAAAGAAGTTAGTTATATCTAATCATGCTGATTAGAAAATATATTGCATGGTAGGTGACGAAAAGACAATTGGTGAATATTTAACATTAACAAATTAGCTAAAAGTAAATTTTAGATGTAAATATTTAAATATTTTATATTGTTTTCTATTTAAAATTAAAAATAAATAAATTTTAACTTTTATGATTGACACTCATTTTATTTATACAGGATATTGAAGTATGTAACTGTTTTTAATCTGCACTTTTAAATAAATCATTATATTTTTTAGATATAAAAAAAAACTCTTACATCAATTACATACAAATTTTTTAATATTTTGATTATCTATAATTATAAGAGACACATTCACCATTTTTAGTTATTATAAAGAGTAATGATATGCGGATATTTTCACATATTATATATTCTATCAATAACTAGAACTATTACTACTAATAATTTTTTTTTTATCACATTATATCTATTATTGTACTTACACTTCTTTTTCTTTTTCTATATTTAAATGTCAATTAACATTTGGAGTCTACTAACATTTTTGTATTCTTGTTGTTAAATTCTCAAGATTAGTATATAATATTTATTATTGTTTATTTCTTTCTAAACATTTCTTAAACTTGTTGGTGTAAAAAAAAAAAAAAAGCATTTCTTAAACTTTATGACTCTCTTTCTTCTCATCGTATTATCCATTACTTAATTATATTTGTCTCTACCTACCTTTTTCTTCTCACGAAAATATTTTATAGTTTGAATAATTCCAGCGACAGATTATGTATAAGAGAGTGTGGCTACTTACCTCCACTACCATTTTTTTTAATAAAAAAATAATATATTTTTTTAAAAATAAATATTATATTCTAATAAAATAAATATATATTTAAATTATCATATGTATAAAATATAAATTTAAAAGAGTTGTTCATATTTATCAATCTTTCAAAGGAGGTTCATTCTTATATGTGATAAAAAATATTCCTTAATAACAAACTAATTTTTTTAAAAAGTTTAATTTTTGATATAATAAAATTTACAACATGTATGTTTATCTTTTGTACTTTCTATTTATGCATACATTAATTAAAAAAATTAAAATAGTAAAGATTGTAAAATTATATACGTTGATTAAAAAATTCAAAATAGGAAATATTGGAATAGGAAATATTGGAAGATTTAAATTCTATTAAGAATTTTTATTATAAAATATTTTTTGAAATAAATTATCATCTGAAAAATTATATTAGAAATAAAAATATATTTATATCATAAATAAATTAAACTTGATTTTTTTATATAATTTATCATATTTAATTTTATATTTTTATTAATATTAAATTATTATAAAGTATATTTTTAGGATTGTAATTCTAACTAAACATTTAAAAAATGTCTATGATAGATAAATAAGTCATATTTAAGATATGTATTTAAAAAAAAGTTAAGTTCAAACCTATTAAATTGTAATATAACATAGTCTGACTTAATTTATTTTGATCCTTACTCGTAATCGTAAATATAAAAATTTGTAAAAATTAATTATAATATATATTTATATTTTTAAAAGTTATATATAAAAATTTTAATACTATAAATATATAAATAAATATTATCTTCGCTATCTAAAATTTCTAAATCTCTGAGTAAATTGTTTCTGATAAAATAATACAAATGCTAACAAAAATGAGACATGCACCTAAATTTGATGATCTTCCATTTTACATTCATGCATGGAGTGGAGCCATTGGCTGCAACCAGTGCCACCATTGCACGACACACCCCACTCTCTCATTGCCACTTTGTTCACTCTGTGTCCAACCAAAACTTGAAAGCAACTAACAGAAAAATCAAATCATAATTCCTAACCCACCACCACACCCTCCAAATCCAAACTGTCACATCCATTTTTTTTTTTCTTTTAATTTTCAACAACAAATATGACATGACCCAATTCAGACCCACGAAGTTTTGTTCCTTTCCTTTCGCGCTTGAAACTCCTCCACCCCCCATTGCCCCACGGATCTCGCAAAAGGATTGGCACAGAGATAGAAACAGGGGAAGGAAGAGAGAGGAAAACAGGGGAATAGACAGAGACAAAAACAGGGGAGGAGAGAGAAAACGCTGGAGAAAGAAGGAAGAGAAAGGGTTGTTCATTAACCTGCTCTGTTCCTTAACAAAGCCTCCATTTCTTCCCACGGGTCTCGCACACCCTCTTGGGAAAACCCCCCAAAAGGGTTGCGTCCAATTTCGTGGAAGAACAGAGACAAGCAGGGGAAGAGAGAGAAAAAAATTAAAAAAAAAAACAGAGGTTGCTCTGTTCCAAAACAAAGGCTCCGTTTTCCCCTGCAATTCTGAATGCCCTTGTTTGTGTGTTTGTCTCGTTTCGCTCTCTTCTGAATCCCCTTGTGCTGGGTGCAGCAACCGCATTGGGGGGTGCTGATGTAGGGGAAACTCTCCCCTACAATCACCATCATCCATTGTTGTTTTCTTCTTCTTAACCAAATGGGTTGCATTAACTCGAAGAATGTGGTTGCCAGAGCCTATTCTCCGTCGCCGGGGGAGATGGTCATTTCGGAGGTGGTTCCGGCTTCCTCCAAGGGCCATTCGGCGTGGCTGGGACCCGAATCCAAAAGGGGTTCAGAGGATAAGTTCAAGAAGCATGCTTCAAGAAAGAGTAATGGGTCTTCTTTCGGCTTCAGGCTTGGGTTGGCTCAGAGGTATGCAGAGGCTGAACAGAATGCAGCTGGTTGGCCTCCTTGGCTCACTGGTGTCGCAGCTGAAGCCATTCAAGGGTGGATCCCCCTCAAAGCTGATTCCTTTCAAAAGCTAGAAAAGGTAAACATGCTATTAGCTAAACCTTGTAACATGTGTTCATGTCCACTAATCTTCACGAGACACAACTAAGTATGTGTTTGGAACTAAATCACGTCAACTTGGATCTTCGTTTGGGAGAAGCAAATATTTGTAGCTTCTGCATTTATTGTCAATTCTAACGTGTTATTTGAGTATAACGTAAATAACGTCATTCCAAAGGCACTAAGTTTAATATTTTCAATTTAAGAGAGTATTATTAAATAAATTCAATTGTGTCATGGGGAGATCATTGTGTGTTATCTATTGAAATTGATATCGATACCGCTAAAGATATTGTAATAACTCATGCATGCTCAGTTGGACTAGTTGCGGAGATTATGTGGGATTATATAACAATTTTTCATTTTTTAGTGTTTTTATCTAGTAATTTTTACTATGACGCCAACCTTTAATGATAACATTTATTATGATATTATTCTATCTTGTTTATAGAGAAGAACTTTTAATTTTAATAGAAGAATAAGATAAATACAAGCTAAAATATTGTACTTAGTTTTGTTTGGTGCCTATGATGCATGTTGCATTTTGTACTGTTCCTTTCAAAATTTCTTTTTAATTTTTCTTTCACTCTCTCTTTCTTCTTAATGATATGTTGTTTTGAAATTGATATAAATGATGATAATGTAATGTTTAACTTTTAATTTGTAACTTTCTGAAGCTATTAGGAAAGGTCCTCCCTAATATCATTGGCGGAGCAGTTCATTTTTAACTTTGAAACTGTCAACTTTGAAGGTTTTCGATTCTAATGTTTATGTCACTCTATCAGTCCATTGTATAAACAAATGTCATTATTTCTTGTTGCCATCATATATATATTTTTTTTTACTTTCTCTCTTTTGGTCTTCTTTACAATCCTTCAAAAAAAAAGTTGATCATTGTATGAAATACTCTAGAATTTTAGGTAATGTGAAACTTAAAGTATAATAATAGTATTCGTTGATATTGTTAATTTAAGTACTAAAAAAATTAAACTATTGAACGTAGCTGAGTTGAGTGAGCTATGTTTATGGAGTATTTGGTTTTGAATGAAGATGTCCCAAACTATAGATTAAGCATAAGCTACAAAAGATTATTTCACTAACAATGAGTAATTGCATGTTTAGTAAACTGTATTTGCTGGAAAATTATTATATGATCCAACACCACGTGGTTTAACCAATCTCCGTGCAACACGTTCTTAATTTTTTTTCGTAAATTGACAAATGTGATTGAGTGTCGGGTAAAGATTGACCAAAAGCATATATAGTCACATATTATGCAATAATTTATTGTATTTGCCACATCATGTTGTCAGCATCTGGTTAAACCAATTTGGATTTTATGATTTGTTTATCAATGTTTCCATTTGTAAAGATTGGACAAGGTACATATAGCAGTGTGTTCCGAGCTCGTGAAGTTGAAACTGGGAAGATGTTTGCTTTGAAGAAGGTGCGCTTTGACAATTTACAACCCGAGAGCATTAGGTTCATGGCACGAGAAATAACAATTCTCCGCAGGCTTGACCACCCAAACATCATGAAATTGGAGGGCATAATCACTTCTCGTATGTCAACCAGCATATACCTTGTATTTGAATACATGGAGCATGATCTTGCTGGCCTAGTATCACGTCCTGATATTGTGTTCTCTGAATCACAGGTTTGTTAGCATCTCATTTATGATAAATTAGTGTCATTAAAGCTATAAACTTTGTGTGTATAAGGGTCAAGTGCATGTTTGGATAATCATTGCACCCCTTCTAGAAGTACATTCAGAATAAAAGATATAGAGAATATTGTTCTACAAAAGTATGTTTACCATTTAGCACCCAAAAGTACATTCAAAATGGTTATCCAAACCTGCACTTGGCAATAACATTCATGTTATGCTACAAAACTTTGCTCGTGTTATTTTTTTTTTAAATACTCTTTTGGTTCATATAGTTTCATGAACTTTATATTTTAATCCTTATAATTAAAACATTCAGTCATTATACATACCGATTTTGTTTCTTTTTAATCATTAGTTTCACAAATTTTACCTTTATCTCTATAATAATAGATGACAAAAATTAAAAGGAAACAAAAATGATATTTATAGGAATTAAAACGGAATGTCTTTACCTATAGAGACTAAAACATAAAGTTCATAAAACTATATAGATCAAAGGATTATTTATTTATTTTTATTTTCAATTTTATTTAATTTTGGGTGTTAAAAAGTTGGTTAGGCATAGGCCACTTATATACATTTGATGTTCATGTTACATGCATGTTTACTGTTTTCCCTTCTCAGATAAAATGTTACATGAGGCAGTTATTAAGTGGACTTGAGCATTGTCATATGCGTGGTATCATGCATCGAGACATCAAAGTATCAAATATCTTATTGAACAATGAAGGTGTTCTTAAGATAGGAGATTTTGGATTAGCAAATACAATTAGCACAAATAACAAACATCATTTGACAAGTCGTGTTGTGACTCTATGGTATCGTCCTCCTGAGCTCTTGATGGGATCGACCAACTATGGAGTGTCAGTGGATCTGTGGAGTGTTGGTTGTGTATTTGCTGAACTTTTTCTTGGGAAGCCTATCCTTAAGGGGAGAACTGAGGTAATCCTCATACTTGATGTATCTAATCTGTGTTGTGTAGTACTTCTATTTACAAATGTAGACATGCACGCATATTTCATTCAGTTTGAAATTCTTGGTGGAAAATAAATGTGTTTAGTTTGAATGTGCTACCAACTATTGCCTAGGAAAAGCATAAATAGGACAACTAAGAACTATAAAAATAGCACAAACCATGCACCGTTTCATTTCCTTCACTAATTTTGAAATTTACTTCTGTACTTTGACATATTATATGTTTTTTTCTTGAGTCTACAGGTTGAACAATTACACAAAATTTTTAAGTTGTGTGGTTCTCCACCTGAGGAGTTCTGGAAAAAGAATAAGCTTCCTCATTCAACAATGTTTAAGCCTCAGACTAATTATGAAAGCTCTTTACGGGAGAGGTGTGCAGATTTTCCTGTAATTGCTGTAGACCTACTTGAGACTTTATTGTCCATTGACCCAAGCAACAGGGGGACAGCCTCCTCTGCCCTAATGTCTGAGGTAAATTCCATTTTTTTTAATGTATTTTGTACCCTTCATTTTCAGAAGACTCTTATATATGATCCTATATTGTGATAGAGAATTGATGTTCTATGCATATACTTCATAACTATTATTCTAAACATGTTAATTTGCTATGATCTTTGTTTAATCTTTGTGCATATACTTCATAGTTGTTATTCTAAAGATGTTACTTTATTATGACGTTTGCTTAATGTTGTCCAATTATGTATAATTAACTTGGATTTTTTTATTTTTATTTTCATGGTATTCCCTCTATAGTATTTCAATGTCAAGCCATATGCTTGTAGCCCATCAAGCCTGCCAAAATATCCACCTAGCAAAGAAATGGATGTCAAATGTCAGGAAGATTCTTCCAGGTAAATTATTATGGCCTTTCTTATTCTTAAAAATTGCCATGGGGATGGTTGTCTATGTAATTGAATTTTCTCCAACTTTAATTCTATTCTTGATGCAATTGTAGCTTTGTAAGGTTACTACCATGTGACATGAAGGGTCATGGTCTAAAATTTTGAAAAAAATCTTTTCCTTTGCGAGAATAGGCTTGTTTACTTTGAGATACCATTTTCTGTTTTCACTCTTAGTCACAATATTAACTTATTTTCACTTAGTTTCCTATTTTCAAAAGTTTGTACAAGAAATGGTGAAAACAAAATTTTATTATATATAAACTTTCAAAATTAGGAAACAAACTATTTTCCCTTACCAAATGATCTATTGTGTACATTTACCCACCCGGGAGTTACCTTTGAGTCATATTCCTGAGTCTCTTTTGTGTTGTTCCAACATGTGCTTATGGTCTATGACTCTATGGATCAAATAGGTTGCTTAATCTACAGGGCCTAAACATGGAAGAACAATGAGAGTTGATTTTTTTTTTTTTTTTTAATCCTTATGAATGTTCATTCAAACCATTAACTTGGACCATGTTTGTTCATCTGAACCGAGCAAGTTATTAAAATAGGATAGTGTATTTGATCATGAGCTTCTGATCAAATCAACTACTTCATTTCTTGTTTCTATTATTAAGTCTAAATATTTACTCTCAGGAAAAAGAGTGGAGGTAAAATTAGAGAGGTTGCAACATCAAGAAGGCAGCAAAGACGAGTCCCTAAGGTTTTGCAAGATCCAAATAACTTTGGCAAATCAATTTCAAAAGAGGTACTCCGTTTTCAATGGAATGCTAAACAACATCACTACTTTTTTACATATTTATTTTACCTTCTTTGAATGATATGCAGAACATTCCTCAAAATGCTCGTAGAGATGATGGAAATGCACATCTTACAAAGGGAAAAGGAGGAGCCATGCACACAAAGCCTACAATGGATGCTATGTCTGAGACCTCCCAAATCATGAATCTTGCTAATGGTAATGGCTATAGTGTACCAGTACACCCAGGATCTACTAATGACTTTACATGGGCAAAAAGGAGAAAACAAGATGCATCATCCACACTATCAGATGGCTCAAGAAGTAAAATTAGTGCATTGGATCCGCACTTTGCAAAAGGCACATATGACTTAACCAATCAAAGGGTGACAATGGATTTTGACCCCGCAGAACTGATAAATGCTCAGGTAAATATGAAGTCCTCAGGTGAATATAAACATATGTTTTAGATCACTTCATCATACAAAACCACAAGGTTACCATTAGTCAAATTAAACTCAAATTGCCACTAGTTGTCAAACACAAACTGACATAAGTTTCAGGCTTGGATAGTGGAAACTAACACTTGACATGTATATTATAACATGATCCAAGACTATGGTTGCAAACAATCTGCACGTGACACTTAACCGAATTTAGTCAACTTTTTCTCATAAATCGAAAAGGCTAGTTACATATCTTGTAGAAATTAGCTAGAACATAGCTACATGATTGTCTTAAACCATGTAATAATTTCTTGTATAAGACATGCATGTGCATGCAAAATTTTGAACTATTTTTTTGAATAATAGTTGAAAATAACCTTCACTATGCTACTTTAAATGTAAAATATTCTATTTGTATCAAATTACATATTGATTTTTACCGAAAATTTTTTAGGCCAACAGAGACGAACAATGGAATGAAAATGGTATAAGGCGCGCAGCTCGAAAATCAAGATTTGGAAGAGGTAAAACATATAATTTTAATATTTGGGGCAATGTCACACATACAAAAGTATTGTGAACAAATTGAAAATGATCAACCTTTACCCCATTTTTGGAGTGAATAAAATCTTTTTGTTGTTTAAAATAACATTACATGTGAACTACTGATGCATACGTATAAATCATTTTGTTGTTTACAGACAAATGAGGCATGAATTGCAGGAGTGGTGTAATCCTAACCACTACAAGGGTGTCTAACAAAACATTTTGGCCATTGATGGACTCTATTAGGGGTATCTAAGCCCTTTTAGTTTTTGACTTGACCTCTCGTGACATCATGGTGGCACTTCCCTCCTTTTGATCACAAGAGTTAATTGTTCATTCCCTTCTATCATAAACAGGATTGACACTCAAATATAGGATGATAGTATACACTTGTAACAATGCCAAAATGGAAGGTGGTACGATTAAAGAATGTTTTATTTTTTTCATTGAATTTTACTATCCTGCTACATGTCAATTTTCTCTCAATGTAGTATTTGAAAGGGAAAGAAAAAAAAAAGAATAAGACACTACACCATAAATATAAAGTACTACAACATATCTTGTGTTCTTGGGAAATGTATTTGGGAAACACAAATAATCAACAACAACCTAGAGTTAAGGCCATAGTCACTATGTTTATATGTATATACGCTATTTTTTTTTTAATTTTTTTTACTTTTGTTAATTTTGCATCGGAACACAAAATTCTAAATAATTTAGAAAAACTAATTTTAACTAATCTGGCAAATTCAACTACTCACAAGAAGATTAAAAGTAAAAGAATTTGACTCCTTTAACATAATAAAAGATGTTTTTGAGAATACTATATTTATAATGGTTAATAAATAATAATATTATATATTTCTATAAATTTTGCGACTAATTCTCTTTCTATATTATAAATAAAATATTAAATAAAAACAAATACATTAGTATCTTAAAAAAAATTAAAAAAAATAATATATATATATATATATATATATATAAAGTAATATCTACTTAGAGTAAGTCTATATATTTTATATTAAAATTTAATAATTTAATTTTTAAATTAAATTAATTATATAAAAATATAATTTAGCTGAAATATTATTAAATATTAATTATTGTATTATTTATCTCTTAACAATGAATATATAGTGAGAAAATTAAAATTATAGATTTTATAAAATTGAGGGATTAAAATTATAAAATTAAAAACTGAAAATCTAAATTACATATTTAATATAATAAAGAAACTAAAAGTCTAATTTATCTTAAATTTTATGAATTAAAAATATATAAGGTGTGTACAGTGTTATATTTGACCCCAATATTCGCAAATGTTACATCAATTTTCTTTTCTTTTCTTTCTATTGAGTCATCTTTTTCTTTCAAATAATGAAATATTATCTTCAACGTTATTAGAACAACTAGTAACATGTCTCCGGTAAAAGAAAAAAAAAAAACTAGCAACATGCCTTTTTCATGTTTAAAGTTGTTAGAACAACTAACAACATGTCACCTGTAAAAGAAAAAAAAAACCTAGCAACATGCCTTTTTCATGTTTGTTTGGTGTTTTTTTCTTTCATTTTATTGTAAATTTTTTAGTTATAATAATAGTTTTAGACATTAAAAGGTTAAAATATACTATAATTACTTTTGAGGGTGTTTGTAGAAGAATTTTTTATATATCAGGGATTATAAGAATCATAAATCATGAAAATCATGATTCTTATCAATGGTTAAATGTGTTTGATTAGTCATAAATACTTTTAAAAATACTTATAAATATTATTTAAAAATTAAAATACTTTTACTATTTAATTAGGTAAATTAAGATAATGTAATAATTTTTTACATAGTAAACATTCATTTTAACTCAAGAATGTTAGACTCTCATCGTCCCTATGAAAACAATCGAGTGAAAAATATGTAGAAAAAACATTTTCGAAAAACTATGTTTTTTATAAGTGATATTTTTAAATGATAAACCAAATGTGAGAAATTAAGGAAGCTTTTGGTAAGGAAGGAGTTTTTAAAAGACTAAAATCCATATGATTACTCATAATTCATAAAGATTCTTAAGAATATTTATATAAATTTCTTAAAAGATAAAGATTCTTACATTTGATTACAATATTACTTTTCTATATATATATATATATAAATTTAAACTTCTTAATACATAGATCTAAGTCTGCAAATTTGAAAACCACTTGATACTTTATTTCATTAGTAAAAAACTTTATCAAACATAATAATAACTATTTGTTCTAATGTATTTGTCTGTAATATATGCAAGTTAAATAATTTTTATAGTATTATTAATTTTAAATTATATATTTAATAATATAATATCTATAAGTGATATCAATTGCAAGTATATTATATATATACATATTATTTATATTTTTAATTTGTATTAACATATAGTTTAACATGCAATTTTTTTTATGTATTTCTTTATACAAAATAAAAATAAAGATAATTTTAAATAAGATAAAAATTAAAATTTAAGATAGAATACGAATTTATTGAAATTTATAAGTATAAAATATATTTAATATAAATATTTTTAAAAAAATTAATAAAAATCGAATCATACGATTCAATTAATGACCTACCAGTTCAACCTTTAACCTACTGACTTAGTACCCTAAACCAATTTGATGATTGATCCGTTTTTAAAACTATGATTTTAACACAAAATGAAAAGACAATATAATAATTTTATTTCTTAGGGAATGTAACATAATTTACTTTTATTTTTAATTTTTATATTAATTTTTGTCTATAACTATTTCATTTAACATTAGCTGGTCTTAATTATATATTATTCATTTTAAATTTTTTTGTTTTCTTATATTAACTTTAGCAATAACAATCATTTACTTTCTAAAACAACTTTCTCCTAGGAAGGGGAATTGAACTACCGACAATGCTTTAGAAAACATGCACAACATGCATAAATCTAAGAAGCATAAGGGGGAGGTAGCATATAAACTTGATTTGGAAAAAACATATAATATGGCCTAGTCATATCTGCATGAATGCCTTGTAGACTTTGGATTTCCTCCTATTACAATAAAGCTTATTATGGAATGTGTAACATCTTCAACCCTATCTCTTCTCTAGAGCAGTAAGAGGTTACCCAAGTTCAGCCTTAAAGGGATAAGGGCAAGGAGACTCACTCTCTTTGTATCTATGTTATGTGTATGGAAAAACTCTCACTTATTATCCAAAAGAAGGTAAATATGAGAGTTTGGGAGCCCTTGAAAGTAACAATCACACTTATTTTTATGCAGATGATGTTCTTATATTCCAAAAGGCATCCAACTCACAAGCTAATTAAGATATTGCAAGATTTGTTGAATAAGTTCAATGAAGTTTCAGGACTCAATGTTAATCTTGCTAAATTTTAAGCCTTGTTCCCAACAGGGATTATTAGAAGGAAGCAAAACAAAATCCACTTGATCATCCCCATTGAAAGTACAACCACTTTTTGGGAAAATATCTTGAGTTTCCAAGAAGGGTCGCATTTGGAATACTAATTTCTTACATATTGTGGATAGGCTCTAGTCTAAACTCACCTCATGGAAAATTAAATTGTTAAACAAAGTTGGTCGACTAATTTTGGCCTCCTTAGTGCTTAATGCAATCTTGTCCTATAGTATGCAAATTAACTAGATTCCAAAGAAAAATTGTGATATTATTGATAAAACTTTAAGGAGGGATATTCGTATAAAATTGGTGATGCAGGTAGCTCCCTATGTTTTGTTAATTGGTCAGGTATGGATCCACTTTGTAACAAAGTAGACTGTGTATATTGTTAATTCCAACTATAGAATAAGAGATTATACTATAATGGGAAATGGCAATTCTCCCATTTGTATACACACCTCCCAAATCAAATAGTAATTGAGTTGAAAGAAAGAAAATATCACCTAAACGACAACACTCCAGATGCTCTCATTTGGGATAATATAGAAGAGAGCCATGAAAGTAGCAACCACCAATCCTAGAGATGGTTGTGGAAGGCTAGAATGTCTGAAAACATTAAATTCTTTCTTTGGTTGGCTTGCCAATATTAATTCTGTCCCTAGTAGAAGACAACACATTTTGACATTTCAACAAAAATGGGATTTGTAGAAGATGAAGGCTTGGAGATTCTAGAATTAACTCCTCCAAGTATCTCCCTAACGCTCCATGGAGATGCTATACACACTAGCTACATTCCACTTTAGTTATTTTGTGCTTTTCTTTTGTTTGCTTACATTACTAATTTTTTTCTTCTCATTTTTATGTTTGGTTTTGAATCTTTGAATTTGATAGATAAATTAATTTACATATGAAATTAATTTTAACTTATTAATCCATGCTATAGAATTTTATTCCCTAACCTTTTTTTTTCTTCTAATTCTTCTCAAAATATGGTCTTATAAATGATTAATATTATTCATATTAATATTTAGAATTTGTAATTATATACAATTAGCATTTTAGTACGTGTAACGCACAAATTAAATATTTATTATAGAAAGTAAAATTTAAAATAAATTATGTATATAAATAAATATTATGTATATAAATAAATAAATAATATTTAAAATTTGAATAAATAATTATTTTAAAATATAAATTATATTTTATATTTATGATAAATGTTTATATTGTAGCGTAATATTATTTTTATGTATTGATAATTCATTATAAAATATAAAAAATTTAATTCATAAATAATTATAAAAAATAAAAATCAAATTAAATATAAAGTTAGAAAAATCCTTAAAATCTATCTTGTTGAAGAATTTTTTTTAAAATTACTCCCTTATAATATATTAGTTTATATTTTATATATAGAAATTGATTATGTTAGTTAATTATTAATCATCTGTAAAATAAAATTAGTTGAACTATTGTATGGGAAGCATATTTGTAGGAAGATATGAAGATATGAATATAAATGTGTAGGGTGTACATTTGTTGCACTTTTTGCCTTCTAAAATATTAAATATTTTATTTTATTCGTAGAAAATATTACAAATGAAATTAAATCTTCATCCTTCTATCTTGGTCTTTCTCCTTCAACTTTCAAAATATTAGTATTTTAAACTGTATTATTCACAACTTAAATATTTATTATATTTAATAAAAATTTATAATAAATTATGTATATATTATGATAAATAATTTATTTTATAGTGTAATATTAATTTTATTTATTGATAATTTATTTTAAAGATATCAAAATTTAATTCATAATTATTATATAAAAATTAAGTTATATAATAAGTTAAAAAATTCTTAAAAATCTATCTTAAACTCTTTTTTAAAAAAACTTTTATAAAAAAATGTTGATATTTAATCAATTCTTATATATTAAATATAAATTTTTATCTTAAAACTATTTTAAGAATTTTTCTTTCCAGAATGTTTTTAGAGATTTTTAACTTTTTATCTAATAATTATTTATGAATTATATTTTAATATTTTAAAATAAATTATGAAAAAATGAAAAAACATTGTTCTTATTTTTGTTATTATTTTGAGAAAATGGTAAAGAAAGAAGGAAAGAGAGAAAAGAAAAGGAATTACGTGGCAAAGGGAATAGAGCGGTAAGGAAAACGCAACGCAGCATCTTAGCATAATAATAGCAGCAGCATCGAACGAACAAACAACAATGCTCTCTTCAACCCTCCTTCACAATCCACCACTCTAGCCACCCCTCTTCCGCTTCCGTGAGTCTTCTCCTTTTCCATTTTCTCTTTACGCTTTCTCAGATCTCAATTTTCAATGTCTTAACTACCTCCACTGCCGCATTATTCGCTTTTTTATTTTATTTTTCCCTCCATTTACAGTTTCTTTTTCGATTTGTTCAACTTCAACTTCCCATAGGTTTTTCAGATTTTTTGATTTTGAAGTTTGTGTCTGTTGTCATGCGTCGCTGTGGGACACTTTTTTGCATGTGTGCGTGCGTGATTCTGTGTTGATGTTAATGTTGATAATTTCTCCCAATGAGAAAAATTAGGGCGTGGTAGATGGCCACATTTTGAATCTGTTGAGTGAGGGTTGGATTTGCTGTTTGTGTGGTTCAATTGAGAGAGACTTGTTGTTATATGTGGTGGTGGAAAGGAATTGAGGTATATGATTGAGGAGGTAGGTTTTTTGAGAACAGGAAGCAGGGTGGTCACTCTAAGGTTGGCTTGAGACCTTAGGGGGTTTTGGCGCCTTGATGTGCGCGGCGTGGGTAGCTTGATAGCTTGCATGTTTAACATAAGAAAGGTGCCAATAGCTTAGCTTGCATATCTAATGGAACAGAAGAAATGTGCCAATACTTTAGCTTACATGTGTATTGGAAGAAAGGCGGCAACTGTTTGCATGTCTAATGGAAAAAGGCGCCGAAGACCGGATGATTTGTATTTTTTTTTTTTGATGTTCCGACTGTTCAGCCCAATTAGCATCAAAGTTAACTCAATTAGCAACAAAGTTAACAAGTTAGATGGCTGTACATTTTGGATTTTTTCCAGCTATTGATAGGGCATGCCTTGTGTGAACCAAAAAGGCTTGCATAAGATGCCATAGGCATGGGCCAGGGCAGCACCACAAACAGCACGAGGAGCCCATCCATTTTGCCACCTCATGAAGTTAGATGTGCCTTGTGACGAATTTGGTAACAGGAAAAAGTATATGCTTTCTAGAGTTATACACCAAATGCTGGCAATTAAGCAGATGTTTTCCATGAACCCAATGGAGCCTCATTGCTGCTGCTTAGAGTCCCAAACACCTGACAATGACAATTCATATATTTTGACTATTTACCCTCCTTTAGTGTAACCTTCAGCTGTTTAGATGATTGGGCATGTTATGTTATTTACAGCTATCAATTACACCCTGTGTTTCAAAATAATTGTTACTTTGAGTCTTCTAAAACACTAAATTCTTTTGTACCAGAAAGGCTCTTCATATGGTGTTAGAGTGAGACACTTCATTGTAAGGGCAGGCAGCCCTAACCAGCAAGCAGGGCTGACCCATTCTGATGGCTTGCCAAACACTACAAAAACCAGTTTTTTAAGTTGAGGACTGTCCAAACCTTATAAGGACTATATTGGTCACATATCTAGTTGATGTGGGATCTAAATACACCCCTTCACGCTCAAAACTAGACATGTGGAGCTGGGACAAATGTGGGTGGCTGTGTAACAACACCCCTCATGCCTAGGAATAGACATTTAGAATGTAGACAAATACAGCTGACCCTATAATGGATTTAGGCCGGGCTTTGACATCGAATTACAAATTTATAATTTAGATTTAGGGTCTAAGTCAACCCTACAAAAACCAGCTTGTAAGTTGAAGTCTGCTTGAACCTTATAAGGATTACATTGACCACATCTTAATCGATATAGGATCTCAATAATATTAAAACACAGTAAGGATTTTGTTGTTAGGTTGACAATTTTAAATGAATTTAATCCCTATAGTTCACATCCATTTGGGTTTTGGTTTATACAATTGAACTGAAAAATATAAGGCCTATCTCTTCATGGAAAAATGGGACCACTAAAGTACCCTTTTTTTTAATAAACAAAGAATTTATTGAGAGAAGAGAAAGATACAATAGTAAAGGATAAAAAATATTTAAGGGGAAAAAAGGCAACAAAGTAAAGAATAAAGGGAAAAAAATGCCAAGACAGCACAGATCAAGAACCATGAAACAGAGCATGCTAATCTCTGAAGATATAACAAAGACACTACCTTAAAAAGACCATTAGCAGTTTAGCAGAACACCTCATAGAAGCTACAAAAACTACTTGATCCCAGATGAGCTCCAAAGAAGACTGCTGACTAAAGAATATTTGAGCAATTCTTTCAATGCAGCAAAGAACTGCAAACTGAGGCAATGTCAAAGCTTTTTGGTGTCCTTGGCAGCATGGTGTCCGTTAATTTGGATGATCTATTTTAGTCTTTATGAGTTAGAGGTCTAAACTCTAAACAAGGTGTTTAAAGCTGTTTTGCTGCTGCAGTGCAGTATTTTAAGTTGTTTTGTTGCTCATTTCAGTTCTGTCTGGACTATGGAGTTTAGTTACTGACTTTATTATGCTTATGAATTTATAATTACGAATTTAAGTTTAATTAAGTATTCCATGTGTTATAATGGTTTTTTCCCTCTTATTTATAGTATTTTAGATTCATATATTATATGCATATATTTGGATTTTATAAATCTTTTAAAATCTTGTGCTTTGTGTTACAATTCCATGAGTTATGATCCTGTGACCATTTCCCGAGTCTGACTGGAATCTTGATGTTGACTACCTTGATTGGCTGTGCCAAAACATCTAAAATTACTACAAAAGAACTTCTGAAGATTTGTGGGAGTTTTGACAAACTCATTGCTCACCAAGAACATCATACAAATTACTCCAGATATCGGAAGCTGCCAAATATGAAAACCAGATCCAGGGCTCAATGGGGACTAAAATAAATGAGAAGCTTACTAAGTAAAACAATACAAGAAAGATTTTTGCCCCTACTCCCTATAATTTTTATCGATTTGGGTGTTGCTTCAGGAGGGATCAATAACTTAATAAGTGGAAACTATAGGAACCAATCCTTCATGAAAAATAGGGAGTAGTACCTTAATAATAAAGACTATCAGGACTTAAAAGCCCAAATGGGTGAAAAATATTCTAACTAATGCCTTAATGGTAAGAACCAAAACTGAAACGAATAAAAACTGGATGGATCGATATTCAAAAGTAGTCAATTCAATTGCGTGCTATAGCTGTAATGGAGTGGTGGAGCAGAGCTACCCTGGGCCACTTTGAGATCCAAACAGGGGATATTGTGGCTGCAACAGGGGCCAACATAGTGACTCTTCTCAGGCTATAGCAGCACTGCCGTGATATAGGCTTCAAGAGCCTATTTTTAGCCCTAAAACAATGTTTAGTTTTTTTTTTGTTTTTTTTAACGTAAAATTGTGATTTCCCCCCACTATTTTCTAATGCATATTTTTCTTCAAAAACATAACAGGATTTGATACCCTTCTTCCATGACCATTCCAGGAAAAGTCACCCATAATTTGACTTCCATTCTTATATGCTATACAAGACTGTTTTTATGTTCCCAATTCATATTTTGCCAATTTTTATCTAACTTGTTATGTTCCTTTTCTATTAATTTCACGATGACCTTTCATTGTTTTTTTGACTTCATTACTATTCTTATTGCTCCTAGATTGATATTTGATAGTGATTCTGTGTGTAAATCGTGACTTATTATTTATCTTGAATTTGTTTAATTTTAATCTAAGTACTTATGAGTAGTATAAATAATTTAGTTTGCATTATACTAGTAATATATTTAAAATGGTAGTAATCCTGTTTCCCACTGTTCCGCCATAGCGTTTTCATCGTTAGATGGTAAGTGTCACTATCTGAGATGATAAGGATTCCAAAAAGAATAGTTACAGGGATCAAAAAGTCAGGAAATTGTAGGGACTGAAACATTATTTAAATCTTTTGTTTAATTGCATTAATAAATGAAATAATACTTGGTTTTTAACTTTAATAGCATCACATAAACTCTTTATTTAGATAATGCAATTCAGATTGCTTGGATTCCGTGCACCATATAAGGTCTTGAGTACACATCTCATCTGTTGGTATACAATATTCATAGCACTCAAGTGTTTTGATTATCATTTATAAAGGCTTTGTAGCACATATGATGCCTTTTTTGCAGCCTATCATTGTGGGTGGGAGAAGTAACCTCCCCTTCTTTCTCTGAACTCCATCACCCTAGTGAAGGTATAACTGACTGTAAAGTTATGCTTGGGATGCCAATTGAATTTGTACAACTATTACAAATTCCCTTGGCATTCTTTGACCATTTTGCATATGATCCAAGTATTTATGTTTCATTTGATGTGTTAAAGTTTTCAATCTATTTCTCGTTTTTGTATCTATGTTTATATGCTTTTAGGTGTCTAATTTTTTTGTCGTTTCTTTCTGAATTTTCCTCTAGGTTATAAAAATGGACAGATCTACTGGCCGTAGTGGTGGTGGAAGCGTAGACATGTTTCTACCAAATTATAAGTTGGGAAAAACACTTGGCATTGGATCCTTTGGCAAGGTGAAAATTGCAGAGCATGTGCTGACTGGTCATAAAGTTGCCATAAAGATTCTTAACCGCCACAAGATAAAAAACATGGAAATGGAAGAAAAAGGTCTGAATCATTTGCATACATATAACCTTTACTGTGTATCTCTAACTGGGGGGCCTGATTTTAATTGTTTTTAGTTTTCAAATGTTTTCCAATATAAGTTTATAGATATATGTAGACGTACACACACACATATTGAGGCTGAATTGATTTATCTATTGTTTTCAAATTCACATGTTTGATACCACAAAGTTTTGTTTGGTTAAATATGCTTATAATATATTTTACCTTTGATTTGTTGTATATATGGAGTTTGGGGATTGATAGCTGAATCACTTTAGCTATGGTTTTTAAATTTTGCATGTTTGCTACTGGTACGTAGAAAATGGTTAAATATGCTTAGTGTTGTTTCCCCCATTTTGTTGCAGTGAGAAGAGAAATCAAAATTTTGAGATTGTTTATGCATCATCACATTATACGACTTTATGAGGTTGTAGAAACCCCAACAGACATATATGTTGTTATGGAGTATGTGAAATCTGGAGAGCTCTTTGATTACATAGTAGAGAAGGGTAGGCTGCAAGAGGATGAAGCCCGCCATTTTTTTCAGCAGGTATAATTTGTAATATTTTGTGTGCTTCAGAAACTTGTGCTTGTCACAGATTATTTAATCAAACTTATGTTATGGAAGCAGATAATCTCTGGTGTGGAGTACTGTCACAGGAATATGGTGGTTCATAGGGACCTGAAGCCTGAGAATTTACTTTTGGACTCAAAATTTAATATCAAAATTGCTGATTTTGGCTTGAGCAACATCATGCGTGATGGTCACTTTCTCAAGACAAGTTGTGGAAGCCCTAACTATGCAGCTCCAGAGGTTTGTAAATAATTGGTTTGTTATGGAATAGCACTACTACTTTTGAGAACTCTTGTGATTAAAATATCAAGGATAAACTGTTGTTTTTCACAGGTTATCTCTGGGAAATTGTATGCTGGACCTGAAGTAGATGTTTGGAGCTGTGGTGTAATTTTATATGCTCTTCTCTGTGGCACTCTTCCTTTTGATGATGAAAACATTCCCAATCTCTTCAAAAAAATAAAGGTATTATTGTTCTTAATTTAATTATTATTATTTTTCCCTTTTCTTTTTGTTGGTTTCAAAGGACTGATAGTCAGATTACCTACTAAACTGTCATGTCAAATCATTTTATTACTGGGTTTTGAGCTTGGCATTGTCCTTGTGCTGAAGGAGATTATGACTAATCCAGAGTGGCTCAATAACTTTTAGGTCAATACTTAATTATATCTTCAACTGTCTTTGTTTAAATGAATGTTAATGGCATTCCTCTGTTGTTTCAAAGATAAGTTGGTTTGAAGTAACACTGCTATGCATAAAAGGCTACACATCAGATCTTTAAATTATCATTATAATCCTTAACAAATGTATTATTAACCTCTAAGAGTAAATAATGCTAAGTGACCCACTAAAATGAGAATTATATTGCGTCATTTAGGTTAATAACAACACTTGAAGATGGCCAGTAAAAAAATATACAGGCATGGAAAGAGTTGGGGGTAGTTGTTCCAAATTCCAATACCATTCCCATTGTCAGTACTACAATTCTTGACAGGTGGGAGGGAAAGTGCTATTCAGTACTTGCCAATGGCCTATGGTTTAGAAGATTCCTGATGGGATGGAATGGGTCCAGGTTCCAAAGGATATACTATTAGTCACATGGACATTAGGGAGGAAATCAACATCTAAAGGAGAAAGGAGGTAGGATCCATAGGGAAGAAAAATTATGAAATATGTAGAAGGTTTTGCCAGTTTTCTCTGCCTACCAGGATCATGATGTGTCATCCTACTCATCTTACGTTTTTGCACTCATTCATGCCATGATTTCATGATTCTCATCTTTCTGTGTTGCTACACATGATCTATTGCTCTGGTGATTTCTGCATGTAAGATGACCCAGTCTTATTTGTTAAGTGTGATGTTGTTAACTTTTGCATTTACCCCGTGCATATCCTACAATCAATGATGATATCTGTGAACAGATTTAGTTTTTCTTCTGACGTGTACCTCACTAATTATTATTTCTTATAGGGTGGGATATACACTCTCCCTAGTCATCTATCACCTGGTGCTAGAGATTTGATACCAAGGATGCTTGTTGTGGATCCCATGAAGAGGATGACCATACCTGAGATACGTCAACACCCATGGTTTCAAGTTCGTCTGCCGCGTTACTTAGCAGTGCCACCACCAGATACTCTGCAACAAGCCAAAAAGGTTTGGTTTTTACTTGTTTACAGGGCTCTCTCTCTCTTAAAATTTTTTTAGTGCATGCAATAGTTCCTTTTGTAATATTTAATATTCTACATGATAGTCACTTACCAACATTTTGGTTGAAAAAAAGTGATGTTGTTGTCAATATATTTGGAACTATTTTGTTATTAGTTGTTAAAGTTACGTTAATCCAGTGGTATTGGAGGTGAGGTGAAATAAGGCATGTGCTGAATCATATAAGCTGAGGCCAAATAGTTCCATGCTTTTATTAGATTTTTCAATTTCACTTTCCTTTTTTAAATAACCTTTGGCTAATGAAATTAATCTGCTAGCACTACTCAAGCTTGCTCCTTTTTCCTTTGTACAAAAGTGCTTGGGTTTAAGCATTGAGTAGATTTACAAGCCATCTCTTCGGACTCCCAATAACAGAACCGGTGTACGAGTGTTATTTAATTCAAAAGAACCAAGCCAAAGCATTTTCAAGGTCACAACCAAAGCCTCAGGTTTCTTAAAGAAATCTATTCTGTCAAGAAAAAAAGAAACCTTGCTTGCCTCACAGCTTCTCTTCTCTATATACCAACCACTCTCCTAACTGAATTGCCAACTCTGCATACCAAATTCCTTTACCTTATGCCATTTCTTTGTCTTTTGAAATGTAGTATTTGGATCACATGCTTATTTGGATTTGGATCCAAATACAATAGTTATCCTGATTCCTGAGTCCCATCTTGCCCCATTACATGACTTAGGCCCATAAATAAGTATTGTATCACCATTTGCCATTATGGTTTTGGTTTCTTTTTGCATTTCTGTAGCATACTTGATGATTTTAGTTGTTTTTGTGTGTTTGTTTCAAAGTTCAAACATCACATGCTTAAGTATTGCAGATAATGTGGTGATATGTTATTATCAATCCAAAAGAGAAAAATCAACGAATATCATGGTTTTGTAGATTGATGAGGAGATTCTTCAAGAAGTGGTTAATATGGGATTTGACAGGAATCAATTGGTTGAATCTCTTCGCAACAGGATACAAAATGAGGTTTGTAATCTCCATTTTCACCTTAAGAGCACCTGGTATATTGTCTCTTATCACTTTCCATGTATTGCAGGGTACTGTAACATACTATTTGTTACTGGACAACCGGTTTCGTGTTTCTACTGGTTATCTTGGAGCTGAATTTCAAGAGACAATGGTGGGTTTGTTTTTCCTTTAGTTGTGTAAGATTTCATTAGTTGTCCGTCTTTAGATAAGACACATTTTTAGTTTGTTAGCAAATTATATCCCCCATTTGAAATGTGCTGCAGTAGTCTCAAAATTACATATTACTCTGTATTAGATCTATGATTTATGAGTAACCATGTGATTGAATTTATCTTTCTAGCTTGAACATCTATGAAGCACTGATACTTCAATTTGCTTCACGTATCTGTATCCGATACAATACTCATGGATACTTCACCAATACATATCGGTGAAGTATTCCAGCCTATAAAAATATTATGAAGATTTTTTATTCAATCTCAATACTCTTGAATACTTCACTGATACTTATTGGTGATATGTATCGATAATGTATTCAAATTTTAAAAAATTATGAAATATCCATTACAGCTAAATAGACATTTGTTTAATATAGAAACATAGAAATAGTGACCCTTGATAAACTATAAATGAAAATTATCTTCTATATAGATAATTTTAAGAAAGAAATGAGATTGGTAATATTATTTCTATTTATAAATAATAAAAAGTAATTTATGATGAAATGATTTATAATTTATTTGTTTTTAGTAATGTACAATAAATGTTTTTAATTTAGATTTTCAAAATAGCAATTATATATTTATATATTTAATGTTTATGAATTTTGATCAAAATTACGATTAAACATTTATTATATTTCATGAATATTGATACATATGATGACACGTATCTTACACGTATCATATCTTATATATTTTAAAATAATTATATCGCTGTATCGGATACATGTAGTATCCGATATGCATACCATATCGATGCATCATTGCTGAACATAGTTCTTCTTGGAGTTTGTAACGTAACCATGAAGTTGTATGTTTTCTATTCTTGATATTGCATTTCTGTCTTTTTAAAACAGGATAGGCTTATTAATTTTGGTTTATAATGTGACTGCGTAGGATTCTGGTTTCAACCATATGCATTCCAACGAAGTTGCTTCTCCAATTGTTGGACACCACAGTACAGGATATATGGATTATCAAGGAGTAGGAATGCGGCAGCAGTTCCCTGTTGAGAGAAAATGGGCCCTTGGGCTACAGGTGCAGTGTTTTACTTGTTAGCTGTTTTCATGCTGGACCTGATTCTGTTTCTCCTGCTTACTGTATTTAATTTATACAGCTATCATCGAGATGGTTCCTAGCCGTTTAATGAAATAATTATTAGATGTCAATTGTCCTGAACTGGTTCCATCTGTGAATGAGGCGTCAAAATTGCTGATTGAAGGTTTTTCTTACGTAACCTCTGGTCCTAATTATAAGTGACAAATTAGATTTTTTTAAATCTTAATTATAAGCAACAATCATCAGCTTTTAAAGTTATCCAGGATTGGATTTTTTTATACTCTTCATTTATTGTTAACTCCATTTTCTATGCATTTGTTAATAATTAGCATTAAATATAATAACCACTTAAAGTAAAAAGTATATTTGGAATAAAACTTGGATTTATGTTAGAATTAATTAAGAATAACCATAATAATTACTTTTCTTAGTCTTGATGATTTGTCTTATGTTGCTTATAAATAGGACTGGAGGCAGTATTAGTTAAAATTTATTGAAAACTAAGACTCATTAAATACGCGAAACCCTTAAAATTGTCATTTCCAATGAATTTTAGCCAATGATTGAGTTATGTATCTGTTTCTAGCATTTCTCTATTATTATCAGTAATATTGCAGTTCTGATGTACTTATTTGGATGGTTACATTTGACTGAGGTCTTTGTTGGTTATGTTTGTTTAACTTGTGCTAGTCTCGAGCCCAACCGCGTGAAATAATGACTGAGGTCCTTAAAGCTCTTCAAGGATTAAATGTTTGCTGGAAGAAGATTGGACATTATAACATGAAATGCAGATGGGTTGCTAGCATTCCTGGTCATCATGAAATGGTTAACTATTCTTTGGACTGTAATCGTTTCTTTGAAACTGATACCAGATTTATTGAAAATGAAGTTGTTTCTAAGTCAAGTGTGGTCAAGTTTGAAGTGCAGGTAATTATCCTGATAAATATATCTATTTTGCTTGTATTTAAATGATATGTTTAATTAAAGGCTTGGTAGTAGTTTTTCATTGTTTTAAGAGCCACAGTTGAAGGAATTTTGGACTATTTCCCTTCCTCCCACCTCCTTTTTTTTAATACTAGTACTAGATAATTAGACTTATTCTTTGGGTTTACTATGTGATAATCCTTTCATTGCAGAGACTAGTATGTTAGATACATTTGGCGAATGAGATTCTCTTGTATGACTAATTCTTGCCTTTATTGGATAGTTCTGTTTTTTTTTTTTTAATTAAATTTTTTTTTATTGAACATTCTCAAACTCGGGTTAATTTCTTTGACAGCTTTACAAAACTCGTGAGGAGAAGTATCTGCTTGATCTTCAAAGGGTCCAGGGTCCGCAGTTTCTGTTCTTGGATCTCTGTGCTGCTTTCCTTTCACAGCTTCGTGTTCTCTAGTGTAAAGCTCACAAGTCAAAATGGAGAACGGAGGTGTCTTGTGTTGCTGCATGTGAATAAGCTTACATTGTACATATCAGTGCCCTTTCAGTATGGGTTCATCTATCTGTTTGAACTTTTTAGCGTACCCCAGTTTTTATGGGTGATCATGATTGAGGCAATCTAAATATGGCACTTGCTTCCTTAATCATGGGATCTGACTAGGTCCGACTTTTTAACAGTGAATTGAATTTTCTCAATCCCATGAAATCCCTGGGAATTTTCTCCAGCAGACATCCATTTATGGTATTGAACTTAGTGTTGTAATTGACTGCTTATGTCTGTCACTTGGAAGCCGAGGGGTTGTTTGCGTAGGCTGCTGCATCGAACATGAGCTTGCAGATTAGCATTTTCTCCCCGCTTCTCTTATGGTGCATGTTATTTAAGGGTCAGTTTATGTATTTTAGAATCCATGTAAACTGAGTTAGTATTTTCTTCGAGCAGACTTAATGATTTATGGTTAATCAAGCTACTTCATCCATCTTATGTGTTGCTTTTGTGATAAGGGGGGTTGTCGACTATCCTTTTCCGCATCCCTTCCTCTTTTTTCTCGGAAACTTATATTTTAGTTCTTAATTATTTTTAAGATTCATTTTGTTCTTTTATCTTTTAAAATGTTTGTTTTGGTCCTTATCTTTTAAATTTGAGTTGAGACAAGTTGTTTTGTCTTGAATCAGTAAAATTGTGTTATAAAATTGAAATCAACCTGAATTTAAATAGTCAAATATCAAAATGAATATAGTAAAAGATAAGATATCGAAATAATACAATAGAAATTGGTTGGGATGAAGTTAACAAGTACTCTTGGTTAAGAAATTCAAAGAAAAAAAACTTTTAATCATGACTTTATTATGTGAATCGAGCAATAAATGTGAGAAAATGAATTGAGGAAATTATTTAAAAATTGAAATCCTCCGAAGAATTAATTTAAAATTGAAATCCTCTCAAATATCATCTGTAGTTGTAGGCTTGCAATTTTGTATTAAAACAAAATTTGATTCAACTAATTGCTTCAATTTTGTATTACAGCGGCGCGGGTAACTTTTATTTATTTATTTTTATTTTATAAAAAAGCTTTATTTTTATAAAAAGTTGAATTAGAGAAATTTTAGCTATACATTCTTTTAAACATTTTTTATTATTTGGTTGAAATTTTTTTAAAACACAAATTTTAATAAGTTTCACTTATTTTATAAGATTCACTAATAATTTTGTAGTTCTCATTAGATTTTAACAATAATATAAGAGACTGTTAAAAAAAAGAAGTGAGTATAATGCTGCGCTCCTCTCTTTTAAAAATAAGTTACATACCTTAGCCTCTATTTCTCTCTCGTCCAAAAACTAGTCCATGTGAAATAATGAAACAAAACTATTCGTTCCAAAAAATGAAACAAAACTATTAAAAAAAAGTTACATACCTTAGCTTCCATTACTCTCTCGTTCAAAAAACTAGTTCATGTTACATAATGAGCTTTTAAATCAAAATTGCCAAACAACTACTTAATTGTCCTTACTTATTTTAATATTTAACTTTAAAGTGACCGTAGCATAAAGGGATAACATTTCTGAATATTTAAGCTATTAAGTGGAGGCCAGTTGATATATTTGTGTCTCCCCAAACATTGTAAAATGTTAATTATATGAAAACTTTTCGCAAAATTACTGGGGTGAAGGAAGAATTTATTTATTTTTATCAAATGCAGGTTCAAATTCAATATCTATTGAGTTTCTATATGAACTTGAATAAAATAAGAAATACTTTGATACAGGTTTAGATTATGAACGAAATAAGAAAAACTTCAAATTCAATATCAATACTAGTTTCTGTTACAGGTTCAAATTCAATGTTACTTATTGGTACCAGGAATTATCAATGAAATAAGAAAATATAAATCATTTCAAATATCAGAACTCAGAAGCTATTACTTCATGAGTACTACAAAATCTAATGCTACAATACAATTGTGCTCAACAAATATAGTGTCACTGTTACAGATAATGAATGATACTGCTAATTGAATGAACCGTTTTCTAGCAAGTTAACAAAGCAAATAGGAGGAAGATCTAGTGAATTCCAAAGCAACAGTTCCCCATCAACACTAGATGAATCCATGTCAGTTGATGTTTGTTGGTGTTCTTCATGTTTCCTATCCATTGTTTCCATGTACTCTTTCTCCTCCTTGTTATTCTTCTCAACTTTGTTTTTGCTGCAAGCCATTTTGAGGTTGGTTAATTGATCAGCTAGTCCTCTTCCCTTCTTCATGTTTCCTGATTCCAGTTTCAACTTCAAGCATTCAGGTATTCCATTGAATGCATAGAGAGAAGCTGAGAACTTTCTCTCATATGTCATTCTCTTCATGACAGCTCTAAGCATTGAAGGCTCATCACCACCATAGTTCTCAGGCTCCACAGGCTCCTCCATCTCTTCAGCCATCTCAAAGGGAGAATAGTAGTTAGGTGGAGCAATGTTGTCCAAAAACCTAAAATCATGGACATCCGAATCAGCGCTTTGGCCTCCCAAATCAGTGTCACTGTCCTCCTCTCTCTCTTCTTCCACTCCTGAATTGCTGTCATTGCTTGAAGTCTGTGGTGTTGTCACATCGATGGATTTGTATTGCACATCCATTTCTGTCTCCACATCTTTCTCAGTCAAACATGACTCAAAGCTGCTAGTAATGTAATCAATTTGTGCACTGTTGTTGATGTAGTCATTGTTGCTTGTGCTGTAGTCTTCAGGGTCATTGAGGAAATCAGTGAATTGATCAATTGAGAATTGTGTTGATCCTGCTTCATATGCATAAGAATAGTCAACTTGTTGTTGCATTTGTGGGTGGTTGACGAGAGAGGAAGAGAAGCAAGTGTTGTTGTTGTTGTTGTTCCTTTCTTTAAGCCTTTGAAGGAGAAGATTAGTGATCTTTGAAGAAAGAGCTGGACTTGAAGATGATTGAGAACAAGGCCAGAAGTTTGTCCTTGTGTTGGCACCTCTAAGCAAGCATGCAGCTTCATCATAGGCTCTTGCAGCTTCTTCAGCAGTGTCAAAAGTTCCTAGCCACACTCTTATCTTCTGAATGGTGTCTTTGATCTCAGCCACCCATCTTCCTGAAGGCCTTTGCCTCACACCAACAAACCTCTTCCTGGCTCTTTGGACTCCTCCAAGTGCTGCAGCTTGTTTCATCATATCATCCCAAGCCATGGTTCCCTCACCTAGGTTTCTCTCTTCCACTACTTCACCACTAGTAGTAGCCTTTCTCTTCCTTGCCATCTACCCCTTTTGAGATCTTTGTTTCTTGAATTGGTTAAGCTTACAGGTGAGGTGGTTCTTTAATTGTAGTGAAACTTGGTTTGTTTGGTTAAGATTATGTTATATGGGTGAGTGTATGAGTACTAGAAGGCACTGAAGTTTGGTTGCTGTGCTATGCTATGCTTTTTGCTTTAGCTGGTTTGTGCTTTTATATGTGGTTTAAGGGAGTGATCCTTTGAACTAGTTGAGTTTTAGATCTGATGACCAGGTCACACTGATTAGTTTCTTGTATTTGTTTCTTTATGATTTCGGCTTCTATATCCAAACATTTGGCAGTTTCTCATGCCTTGTAATTGGTGCAGCTTGTTTGACTCGGACAAAGGGCACAAATTTTTTCTCTTGTGTGATCTTATTTGAAAACCTCATCATATTTTATGCCATAGTGCAAGCCTGAATTTGTCATTACCACTTCATGTATGTGATCCAAAGCTACAAACTAAATTTGTGTGATCTATGATCTTTTCAAATTTTAATTATCATTTTTGCACCCAAATATTACCCTTCCTTGCCACTTTGTCCAAGGCAAGAAGTGAAATGTGAGACAGAGAGGGCTTCCCACTCAGTTGTCAAGAAAGACACCAAGAAAAACAACCTGAATAGCCAAAACCTATGTGCTATGCAGCAGGAACTAGACTACTTAACAAGCTACAGTTGATGTTTGGATTTTACCTTATAGTTTGATTTATATTTTCATCATCAACTTTGATTGCATATACTAGACTTGTTTGTTTATGAACTTATTCTACAGATCCGTACATATAAGTTTAGTCCAGCCAATAGAATGAGAAGGGTAAAAAACAAAAGTACGCATTGAAGTTATGGTAAGAAGTATGCAATGCTATTAGCCTTTGGTTTAGGATATCAAGGCTCTCAGATAAAGTATATTATCATTTTTTTTACACTTAATGCATTCTCGATCTTGATGCAGAGACTAATCTCTTGAAATACGAAAATTTATTTAAATAATCGATTTTTCTTGGACTCTTCCATTCACATGAAACTAAAAATGAAAGCCTTGATTGTATGTTCAGATCGTGTTTAGAACAATATGGCAAAATCACATGAATGGTAAAAGATCATGGTAATAGGTTCAATTGATGCAGAAATTACTTCTAATTACTTCTGTTGAATGTGGAGAGAAAGTCATTCATGTTATAGATTTAACTCCAAACACATACTTAAAAAGACAAAATTATTTTTCAATTATACCACATTATGTTAGTTATTAAATACATGCTTATTAACTATCAAACAAATATTTTCCCAAGTTATTAACAGTAGGTAGGAGAAGTCTCTTTCATCCTAAAACAATGTCCATGCCATTATCGTTATTCATAAACACACAAAATAGTAAACTAATGTTTTGTGTTCGTCATTGCTGATGAATGTCAAGAAATGCGATTTCTTCGATGCCCCCACCATGAGTATCATGCCAAGTCTAGCCCACTTGAAAACTTAAAGAATGTGATTTTCTTCAAAAACTTTTTGTAATGTCGTCATCAACCATTGATTGATCAATAATTTTTGTGATCGTGTAATATTTTAATGTGCAAAGCTTTTATGGGATTTTCGTCATGCAGCCACTCGAGATAGTGACGTTTCTGGATCAACATAGGAATCATCTTCTTGTGAAATATTATCGATTGATGCTCGTAGCATATATCATACACCAAATGCAACTAATTTTGCATTTATTTATTGAAATTTAATTACAATCTACTAAAACTGAAAGAAATTTTCATATTTTCATCCGATCATCAATTAATATAGTCTTATTTGAATTTATAAGAGAAAAAATAAGTTAACATGTGTAAGTTAATTTTAATTTATGAAGAAGTTCAATATATTTTACATTTTTTTAGAAGTATTTATAAAAAGATTATTCAAGAAGGGTTATTTTTTTTAAATTTATTTTGAGAAGAGTCTATGTATTTTTTGGTTAAAAACGATAGGTAGCAAGTTGTTAAATTTTGTAATAATAATTACTTAAAAATTATAATTATGTGTAAGCTATTTTAAATTAATTAATTAATAGTGCCATATTTTATACTAACAATATATCAAAATTAATTTTTTTTAGCCTATTTTATCTTTTGAAACTCGCATTTAATTGTAATATATTACCATTATTGCATATCAAAATTAAACTATTAAAATTTTATGGTGTGTTTGGATGAGAAATTTTACAAATTCAAGCAATTTGAAATTCTTCTATTTGAATTACTTTGATTTCAATTTCTATCATTCTTAAAATATTTTGTTTGGATAAGTCAATTCAAATTTTTTAAAATTTTAAATTGTTATTTTGGATATGATAATTTGATTCTATCATGATAAAATTGATTAAAAAATATATTTATATGTTGAGATTTTTAAATAAAATTTTATAAAAGTAAATATTAACCCATTTTTAAATATTTAATAATTTTAAAAATTAATATTAGATAATATTTAAAATATTTTTGAATATTCAATAATTAAAAATATGAAGATATAAGATAAAATGTATAAGTGAAATAAGGGAAAAAATATAAAGAATTTCAAATTCTTACTTTTTTGGAAGAATTTGAAATTCTACTATTTCAAAGAATTTCAAATTCTTACTTTTTTGGAAGAATTTGAAATTCTACTATTTCAAAGAATTTCACATGCTTGGATTTCAAATTCTTTATAAATTCTCCATCTAAACAAAGTATCTCACCTCAAAGAATTTAAAATTCTTCAAACAAATGAATTACTCCATTAAAATTTCCCACGTAAACTCACTATTAGAGATCTTCATTAACCTGAACAAAAAATTTCTTCTCCATTTGTGTTCATTTCCTTTGCCTTTGACTTTCTCGGAATCAAATATTGTCTTGATAAGAACAAACGAGAAACGGTGAAGAAAAAATTGAAAAATGCTTATAGTCTTACAATAATAAATTAATTAATAATAAAAAAGAATGATGGTGACTTGTGAGAAAACGAATCGTACTGTGCCGTTACTTGAAATGAGACGCAAACCAAATTAAAAATGTTAGAAAGACGTGAAGATGAGACAAATTTGGGCTTTTCCCTGTTTTCTAGGGTTTATTTTATTATCACATTGATATTAACTAATATCATTGCCTCCATTATTCATTTTACTTCCTAATTGAGTTCTTACATCATCACCTAAAACAACCAACAATATTTAAAAATTCATACAACAGGACAATTTTTCTTAAAAACGAGTTTTCATAATATCTTTAAAGCAAAGAAAAAAGTAATATCCACCATAATTGGGAGAATTCGTCTAACAAGGACTTTGCTACAAACCCTTCATCTATTAAATACATATTTAGTTTAGTTTATAGAATTTCAAGATAGTGATTCAGCTAAAAGTTTTTATTTATTTATTTAGGTTATTGAAATATTTAACATTTTTTTATAATTAATATTTACAGAAGAATTTCAGTAATTATTTTTTTAATAAAGATCGATTTGAGATTTGTTTCCTATCGCATTTTTTCAGTCGCAGTTTAAACTTAAAATTTTATTTAAAGAATCCAATTAATATCTTGTTAGTGAGTAAAAGTTACCGTTGCTGAGCTTATAATGGTTTGGGAAATTTTAAGATTTAAACAAAAAAAAAATGCTTTAAGTTATTGATGATAAGAGAAAGTGATAAGCATTAGTTATGTCATTCCTATTTTAAGGTTTAAATTTCTTTTTACAAATAAATTATCTTTAATTAAGAGTCATTTAAGAAAAAAAAACTTGTTTAGTATGAATTTTTTGGAAAGAATGTGAGGTAGTGAGTTGGTTCATGGTTTAGTGGAGGTTAGAAAGAAGAGTATTTAAGATTTTCTCTGAGACGGAAGTCTCATAAGCTCATTCTCAAAGAAAACGTAGGGAGTGGTTTTAGAGAGAAGGACTTTGGATCTGTGAGCTCCTTTCTCTCTCAAACTTCTCTGTTGGATTCTTCTTCTCTAAATCACTAATTCCTTCTACCTTTTCTTGATATTCAAGTGAAGAAGCTTGTTATGGAGAATTGAAGTCCGTGGATTGAGCTCGGAGGAAAATCTTCTTCTTCTTCCTATTCTTGGCCATATTGAGCCAATTTTCAGGTGAGGGAAGCTAGATTATAGATTGATTGGTTGTATGTGAGTTTAAGAACTCAAATTGATGAATGAATTATGAGAATTCATGGTTGGATTGAAGAATCTCTCATTTTTCAGGGTTTTGGGAAAAATGAGGTTTTTTTTGATGATTTTGATGTGTTTGATGGTTGCATGTTGAATTTGAGGTTGTTTTTGAGTTGTATGAAGTTTATGCCTTTCATTTCATGGATTGCATGTGGTTGAAGTTGTTGATTTTCAGGTTTTGAAGGAATTTTTGAATTTTAGAGGTTGCTATTTGAATTTGCGTCAGGCGCAATTCTTGGCGTCGGGCGTGTATCCATCAGAGACTACCAATGTCAAATCACGCCGGGTGCGATTTGAAGTGGGAGGTCTCTGAATGACTCACGCCGGGCGTGGGGAGAACCACGCTGGGTGTGATATCAGATGGTGGCCTTGGAATTTATGTTACTAATATGGTGCCGGGCGTGATCTGGGTATGTCGGGCATAGAGGCCTTTGTGAGGTCTCTGTCTAGACTGGCGCTAGGCACAGGTCAAGTGCACCGGGCGTGGAGACCCTTGGGGGTCTCTGCCTACAAGGATGTCGGGCATGATATTCCGCGCTAGGTGTGGGAGAGCTCTAGAGCTCTCGGGTTGGGCTCAGGCTGGGTGCGAGCTAATTTGCTCCGGGCGTGAGTTTAGTTGATAAAATGTTGAATGTTGTGGTATGATGAGAAGATATAGTTGCGAGTTGAAAGTTGTGTGTTGAACCATAGTTGTGTATTTGTGTAGAAATGTCGTATGTATGATTAGAATGAGTTGCTTTGTTGTTAAAACATGTTGTTAAACATTGTTGAGGAGTTGTGGTGCTGTTAAATTGTGTTGTTAAAGTTGTGAGTTGACTACGTTGTTTAAGTTGAAAGTTGATTGAGATGATGAGTTGAAAATTGTGATGATGAGTTGTTGATCACTAGGACTAGAGGAGATGTTTTTGAAGTTTCTCATCCCATTGTGCGGATTGAGATAGTTGTGGTGCTCTAAGAGCCC